AGATTAAGTACATGACCTGTGCAGGTGTTTTAAGAATTAGATCTCGTGCTCTAATTATAGTAACAAAAAGGTTAAAAAAAATCAAAACTTGAATCGGTGCCAAAATTTGACCTGTGCAGGTGTTTTAAGAATCGGATCTCGTGCTCTAATTATAGTAAGAAAGAGCTAAAAATAGTTTTTCCATAAGGTATATAAACTCAAAGTTTAAGTCAGTTATAGCATCAGTCTTAGCACCTGTAGAGAATAGACATGGCAGAAGCAATGATGAATCTTAATAATTTTACAGGTCAGAATTATATTCCACCTCAGAGTACAGGATTGTGATATGCCTTACCCACGGCACCTGATACACAAGATCCCATCGGATTGGATTTGGGACTTTATAATATGCCAGAACCCATGACCAAAGAAGATATGAGCATCTTAACCACCACTCTGGATGGAATTATTAAAATGTTGACGGATTTAAAAGAATACAACACCAGTGAATTTTGTTTGTTAAGGGGCAAATTATCCCGATTAGAAGTTAAAGTGACTAACATCCAGGAGAAAATGAATGGTGGATTTTATCAGAAAAAAGAGAGTAGCAGCAGCAGCAGCAGCACAGGAAAAAAAACAAAAGAAACAGATCCATGTTACATTTGTAAAGAGTTGGGACATTGGGCTCCAGACTGTCCCAGAAAAAAAACAGGATTTGTGTTACAAATGTGGAAGAATGGGACATTGGGCTAATGAGTGTCCAGAAGATGATCAACAATTAGTGAAAGAAGTACAAAAATTAGAGAAAACTCAAGAGAAGAAAAAACGCCAGGAACATCAAATTCCTACCAAAAGCAGTAACAAAAGGAAACTTGAGAATACCAATGTAAAGGAGAAACTAAAATTGAAACTCCAGAAAAATAATTGATACTTTGTTGTGAATAAGGGCTGTGAAACAGTAAGTTTTCATGTTTTTTTTGTGTGATAGTCCTGTTATAATAGGATTCTTTTCTCTGATCTTTTCCTTGTTTTGTGTGATAATGACGTCATAATAGACATACTTGAATCGCTGCCAAGACTGTGTAGGTCCTGCCTCTTAGTGACTAAGCAAAAAAAATCCTTTTGGCACAGTGATAAAAAAATTGTGATTTTTCCCGTTGTAAACGGACTCTTCTCTCTGATCTTGTTTTCTATTTATATTGTATTGTATCAATAATAAAAGGTTTGAAATTGAAAGAGAATCTTTCTTTGTATATTTATTAAAAAGGGGGTAAAAAAAGGGTTGAACATCCAGGATCTTGGGTGGGGGACAAAAAGTGCACTCAATTGACCCGGCCAGCGCATTTTGAGACTTTGGATACGGTATCCTGGATAGAATAGACCATTTTTGAGACTCCTTGAATACGGTATCCTGGATAGACTAGTCCAGCGCATTTTAGGACTTTTAAAAACCCTGAATACGGTATCCTGGGTAGACCCGTCCAGCGCATTTGACATTTTTCTTATTTTGACCTTTTTTTACCGTCTATAACGGCCCCTATACTCCAGGATAGACCGGTCTATCCTGGAGTAATCTACTACTGTGGCACTGAGATCAAAAGTGAGCTCATCCAAGTTTTATTGTTCCGGAGCCAGAATGCTGTTGCCATCTACAGAAAAATATTAATGTTTATTGATCTAACTGCAACAATTTTTTTAATTGAAGAAAGAAATTTTAATGAATGATTTTAAGTTTTCACAATCCTATCAAACGGAACACACAGCAGACACAGTACTGACCATTTTAGCACGCTCTTCTTGGGTCAAAAGCCCTATGTTAATTTATTTCTGCGTATTTTAATGTACACACAAATGCAAGGAAGAAAATGGAGATTTATTCCTCGAAAAACCGTGAACAGGATCTTCATGTTTGATAGATGATCTTTTAACTTTAGTTACATTTTTACACTTGTATATTAAATACATGCATATTTAATACATGTATTTAAAAATGATTTATGTATATTAAATACATAAATCATTTTTAAAAGTTAAATAGTTTCCTTTGATGGCGCGTTTGGTCTGGTATATATATATATATATATATATATATATATATATATATATATATATATATATATATATATATAGTGCAAATTATATACAGGTAAAAATTAAGAAAAAACGAAAGATTTATTACAGCAAGGAAACCTTCAACACCTGAGGAATTAGAAAAAAATGATTGATAACAAATCTATCAATCAAAAATAAGTGCCGGTTGTTTTATATGGCATGAAATCCTTGACAAGAAAAGAAATTTCTCATGATATATTTACGTCTTTCATAGGTCTGCTCAGTTTAAAACGGTGTTTTATATAGATAACTTATGTTCATTTTACATTGAAAGGTCTCGAACTATTGTTTGTCGTTCTCATAATAAATTCTGTCATATAAAACGATGCATCCAAAAGAAATAGATGTTCGTTTGATATTAACTGTTCTCAATCTTGGACACCTCGTCACCTTTCTCTCTAGGAAAACACAAAAAAACGGGTCAATTTCCTCGGGCAACATAACAAAATAAGCCAACACTGGTTATATGACACTTCATAAAAATTGGTCATCGCTCTAGGAAATGCTACAAAAATAGATCCCCTGGTAAAGGAATTCCATGAAAACCCCTATTTTAACGTGGTTTGCTTCGTGGTTTAATTCGGTGTTCAAGTATAGAACCTAGAAGACATCCCAAACATTGCTAAAACTGCATAGCTGAGAACTGAGCTTTAATTAGGTCTCCTCTCTGGGAAACCCTATTAAAATGGGTCACCCTCCTTGAAACTTCATTTAAACGAGTCTGGAACATCCATTAAAAAGAGTCTTCTGTCGTAGACCCATTATAAAAATAGGACACTTTGGGACATCTCATTAAAATTGGCCAACTCTGTGTAACACCAAATTAAAATGGGATATATATCTCTTGGACGAAAACCCCATTAAAATAAATCACGTTTTTGCAGAGACCTTCCATTAAGTCACCGTCACAGTAGCTCATTCGATAGAGCGCTCGCTCCGTGATCGGAAGGTCGTGGTTCGAGCCCCGGCCGGACTGACCTATAGCTATGTCGATAGAGAATAGGTAGCAACTGTTCCTTCGCCAAGCGCTCGGCACTTTGAAGTGAAAGTTGTGGGTCCTTCGGATGAGACCTTAAAAAACCGAGGCCCCATGTCATGGTAGGCGTTGGCACGTAAAAGATTCTTCATTGCTCAATGGCCCTGAGTGCCGAGTAAAGGTCTAAATTTGACGCCTTTTGCCGTAATATGGTGACTTCTCTATATATGAGAGAAAATTCTCGATCGGGACGTAAAACAACATACAATCAATCCTTTATGTCTAGCTTTCTAGATAAAATTGGCCTCTTTCGGGGGCACTCCTGAAAAAAGATTCATCTTGTCTAATGAATGTAAAGAGACTTTGCTTAAGAAAAATAACATACTTACTAGCGACATCGTGAGTTAAATCGTATAGCACAAAGGAATGTTCTAAAATATCATATAAAATGGAGAATATGGAATGGAGTGGATCATTGGATATTCCAAATTTTGTGTTATTCACAGTGGATTGCGTGCTTATATAAAAATTAAACCAAATTATTAGGCCAAATTATTTGGCTTATTGAATCATTGATTAATTTACAGTGCCTTACTGAAATCTGTAGGAAAGCAACACTGTAATTTTATCAATATTAATATAATGCTGCTATTTTTAAACAGAGTAATGAAATTCTGCTTTAAAACACTCATAAAATTCAAAAACTCGCTACTCTTTCAAAATAAGCCTTTCCAAATCAAATATTTATAAAAGCTATTGTGGACTAGCTTTTCATACGTTATACATAGGCGTAACCTTTGCTCTTTTTTCAACCATAAACACAAATCCCTGAACTTATTGAACATTTAGTCAGTACATCAGAGTGGAACCGTCACATCAACTGTACGGTTTAAAACACAAGGAGTACTTGCATTTAAGTCAGATGCTTTTAAGTTTTGAAAAAATACAACACAATTTGGCAAGCTTATGACAACTATAACAAAGATAAGAATTTTAAGGTGACGAGAAATAAACTTGATAGCATTCATTTTTACCAATGAATTTTAAAAAAAAAATGAAGAATTAGTGTAAGAAAAAGAATGAAAAAAAAAACCAAAATGAACAATATCAAATAATAAATCAATGAATGAATAGAATTAAAGAAATGTATGTCTTGAATAAATACATTAATTTGAAATATTAAATAAAGACAGTAATATCACGGAGTATTTAGATGGAACGCTCTATCGTTAAAATGATATTGTCCCCCGGACCCGGTTTAACGATAGAATTCTTTCCGTGTATTGGCAATGTTGCAAAATAAACGGGTATAACTCGCACTCTCTGACAATCCAGAGAGTTCCGAATGTCAACATGGCGTTAAATTTGAAGCGAGGAAAAAACATTGAGAAAATGAGTAAATTTCGTTTTTATATGGATTATTTTTTAGGTTAAAAGACGTATACCATCTCAAAAACGTTAGTTATGTTTAATTTGGTAGTTATTTTCAGTGCTACTCCTTTTGTATTTTGCTACATTGCAAGTATATGGGACGTTTTCTAACTGTGGTGAGGGCTTGTCTATGGAGTATTATGATTCAGAATATAAAATTAAAATATAAAGCACACATCAGATGACTCTTTTCTCTACGAAGTAGTCACTTGATGTATTTTACAGTCGCCCGATATTAATTATAAAGAAATCTTTTTCAAGTTTGCAGTTGTTTGTTCCTGTCAGAAATTTCATTGGAATAAAAATGACAAATGAGGTCAAATGCTTTTTGTTTGCAAAAGACAAGTAATTATTATTAAGATAAAACATGATTTATATCGTCTTCCGGTGGAAATCTGATGGTGATATATTATGCTATGAACTGTATATATTATGCAAATTAATCACTGCATCTATAAAAACATATGATTTGCAATAATGTTAAACACTCCTAAAATTGTAATTATGAGAAAACTAGAGGGATATTTGTATTTATTGGTAAGTGAATTATATTTTCAACTTTGTAATGAAAAGAGATAAAGAAATTTTTTCAGACAACTGAATATGATTGAAATAAAAATATTGCAACTGTCTAAATATAATTAGAATAAAACACGGTTATAAGTAAGTCAGAGGGAAAAATGAAATTTTCTCATTAACCAAGATAGGAACATACTGTATACAGGGAAATCCCCCCCTTTCGCCCTACTCACAGTTAGGCGAATTTAAAACAGGGTGAATTAAAAAAAACACACAAAATAATTTAGTATAATTTCTGAAAGAGAACTGTGATTGGTCGAATTTAAAACGGGGAAAAATTATTTGCAAGTATGAAAGGGAGAAAATTACACTGGGCAAAAAAAAAAAAAAAAAAAAAAAAAAAAAAAAAAAAAAAAAAAAAAACCCGCTGTAAACAGTAGTGCAAGGAATATTTGAAGATTCATTCGAGTTTCCTTATAACGAAGATATCCTTATAAACCTTTATGAACGTGTTCTTTATAATGAAGTTTGACTGTATATCAACAGGTAGTGACTGTTGTAACCGCTGGAAGATATCACAGAGAGGGACGACAATTAGGTACTGTTTTTGTTTATTTATTTATATAATTTTTGCTTCTCACCCCTTTGAGATATTTTTACTGTTGTTGAATAAGTTTGATTACCACTTGCAAAATTAAATCAAAGTTCCTCTAAAATACTATTAAAATAACGAGCCTTACAAACAATGACAACGGTATTACCTGCTTTGTCAGCAGGGACCAGCACATGCTGATCCTGTAATCTATCTAAATTTTTTTCACTCCGGAGTTATTGAAAACAGAAGGATAGACGGTTTTCATAATGCCCCTCATCTGCTTAATGCTAAATTTAAACATCCATCTGATACTTTTAATCAATTCTGAAAAAGTGTCAAGGTCTTGAACATGAACACATAGGAGAATTATGTTTCAGATGTTCGATATCTAGGCACTGTAATTTTTTTTCTTAATTGTAATTAAAAAGATTATTCTACTTAGAGCTACATACTCACATAGTGATTTGGAACACGCTTTAACATAAGTTTATTCATTCAATCATTTTTATTAGTCGCATATTCCACGAATAAAAGGAAACATAAGTTGATTGATTGTTTGTATGTTATTTTAAGTCCCGCTCGAGAAATATAAGTTGCAATGTAACTAGATAACAGAATGAGATTCTAGTAGCATATATTACGGAAACATGACTTTTTTTATTGGCTGTTAATGATTGCTATCGTACATGTAGTTATACCACTCTCTCTATTTCATTTGTTTTGTTTGTTTATTTAGGAATGACTCTAATTCTTGGCCAAATTATTCGAGCATAACCTGGTTTGGGTCAGTTTACGCTTTATAATCCGCGAAGCGGATAATAAAACAGCGTAAACTGACCCAAACCAGGTTATACTCGAATAATTTGGCCAAGAATTAGAGTCATTCCTTATAATTTAATTTTAAAATCATTAGTTCAGGTATTTTATTAGTTCAAAGAACAAGGTACGGTTTCAATACAAATGTTGCCCTGTGTTTTTCTTAAAAATGAAAGTGATGTGAAAAATTATAACTCATGCTTTCTGAGTCATAGAAATTCCATGCAGAAAGATTATACAAATCATTTTTCTCTCATGATCTTCTTAATGCTAATTGTGACGTCATAAACTTTTGCAATTTCCCGTATTTTCTTAAAAAGTTGCAGAAGACACCAATTTTCAATGGAATTTTCTTTCAGATAATATTGTCCACAGCCATCGCCCACAAAGATTTTAAGATATGTGATTTTTCAGGGAATTTTACACAACATATCCAAAAATTAAAGTGGGCGACGGCTGTGGACACTATCTTCTCAAGGAAAATAACCCTTGAAATGAGTCATTTTGAGGTTTTTTTCTGTTTAAAATAGAGAAATGCAGCAAATTAATGACGTCATATTTCCAGAATGGTACTCCTTCATGCCATATTCTTTCCTGATTTATCACAGTCATATACTTAACTAATATTTAAGCCAGTTTCAAATATTTTTGAAAACATTAAATTTTTAGGGCACAATAAAGCTTAAACTGTACCTTCTTCTTTGCCGCTCAATAATACAACCGTAGTAACGGAAGTGATGGGAAGCGACGGGAGGTAAAAACTGATACATAGGCCTAGCGGCCTTGTTGTTTGTTTACATGTGGTAAGATCGAATCATTGTTTGAAGTTTAAGGTACATTTATTAAATCTGGAATTTTCCAAGGCATGAATCCCGAGGACTGGAAATGAGAGGATTGTATGGATACAGATGATTCAGCTGGTTGTCAGGGGTGTGTGTCCCCATACCAAACCAGGTTATACAGAAATAATTTGTGTTCCTTTTTGGATATTAACCAATCAGAGGCTAGAATAGAAACAAAATTAAATTATTTACTCTTAAACCTTACAATGGTACATGAGGTACATTAACAGATTTACATATATACAGAATAACAGGTCAAGTAAGGAAGAGTAGTATATATAAAAAGAAGAGTATTACTGAAAACATGCCAACATCTATTTAACAAACAAAGAACGCTTTATCAATGAGTCTACATCTGTGGTGGACATAAGGTTCTATTCCACCTGGTTTAACCTTTGCTATATTAAATCTATTTTTCATAAAAATACAAAAAAAAACAAACAAAAAAAAAAAAAAAAAAAACTGGTATGTTAATATCGTCAGTATTATCCGTTTTTGTTTCGGTAAAACACAAAATGTCATGTTGGGAAATGAAGTTTAAGAATTCATGTTATTGCATTTTTCACACATTTGATGTCAAAAGTTTAAGTCGATGTGTAGACTGCTCTCCCTCGTGTCCCTAGCTGTCTCGGTCTGGGGTTGAAGTTTGGTGTGGTCTTTTCTTAGATTGTCCATATTGTCGCAATCTAATTAAAATTAGATGTTCCGAATCCACTACCGCTTGAGAAGAGGTAGCGGATTCGGAACATCTAATTTTAATTAGATTGATATTGTCGGTCGCCGTAGTTTTTGATCGGATTTGTCTGAGTGGTCACGCATTGATCAGGCATAGGAATATAAACTTCACCGAGAATATATAGCGTATATACTAACAAGTTTAACTTTTTTCTTATCCTTCCTGGCCTGTCGCATGACGGAATACAATTTCTTTCTTTTTTCTTCTTTTTCGGGGGGATATTGCTCATTGACCAATACATGCGTTCCGTTTAGTTTTTGGGTAGCACGTGTTCGTTTTAACTCACGATCTTTAAAAAAGGTGAACTTAGCCACTATATTGCGGGGGTGTTCATTAAAATCATTCCATCTCCCCATCCTGTGCACTCTTTCAAACGATATTTCGTAATATGATTTAAATCTACATTGGATAAAGTCCTGCAATACTACTTCGGTACTTTCATTTTTCTCGTATTCCGCTGAAAATTAGGTTGTCCCTCATGGAACGGGCTTTTAGATCAATCATGGACTTCTGCAGATTGACACTTGCCTCAATCAATGCCTGTATATCTTCCTTGATCTTTTTTTTCCTCGTTGATCTTTTCCCTCTCGTAACTCAACCATCTCCTTTCGGTTTTCAGTGATCTGTTTGGAGTTGGATTCTACTGATACCTGTACTGCATCAAATATATTTCCTAGAGAACACACAGTAGATTCTAATTCTTTGTGATCGTTTTAGAATCTGTATTCGTCAGTTTAGGATTCATATTTGGGTCAGTAATAAATATTTGTTCCAAAGTAATCTTATCGCCATTAACAAGTCCATGCCTACTTCGATTACATTATGACTTTTTAGTAACAAGATTTGCTGTGTCTGTCATCGACATTTTGTCACTTATATACTCATACACTAATATACGATATGGTATATCAGTTAAGTGTTTCTCACATTATGCTACGTTCAACACAATACAGCAGTGCAGCTTTCACAATACTTTACAACATAGTGTTCAGTGACACACAAAGAGAGAGGGATTCTAAAAAAGTTTCTTAAATATACATGTAATACTAAAAAAGTTAAGATTTCGAGAGCAAAATGTTGCGAGAAGATAGGTATAATCAATATCCCTTTAAAATTCGACATTAAGTTTAAAAACGAAGCATTTTTCAGATTTTCTGTGAGACCGGTCGAAAACCCGATTTGCCACTTCCTTGACCTTGACCTTTTTTTCTTCATCTGTCCCTATTTTTTTCACAGAGTAAATGTCCATGACTGGAACACAAATTTAAACAAAAATATTGTGATCCTACATTCCACATCTTAAAAAATTCAAAACAATATTGTAAAAATAGAGCGTTTCTATGAAAATACATGTATAAAACTCTTAAGGATATTTGGATTTCTTCGATATATATATTTGTAGGTAAATTCAAAATTTTTGAAATTTGATTTATAAATTACTACTGTGAATTCGATTTTAGCCAACATAAAATCTTAAGCTAAAAGCAAAACACTATCATAAGAGGTTCCATATTGCTTCGAAATTAGGAAATCTGACCAGACATTCTGCAGTATCAATCAAAACGCCCGCACACCTTTTGTGTAGCTATGGTGTGTTACCATAGCAACCATGTTATCTATTTTTAGAAAAAATATTGTTATAACTTATAAAACCTTAGGTCAACTATTTTCATTGTTTCACTATAATCAATAGTTAGCCACTGAGTTTGGTCGGGAAATTTCTGACCTTTTTATTATATAAAATGCATGTTAAATGAGCAATGGTTACCACCAATTTGAAGAACCAACATTCCAAATAATATCTTGTCATCAAGAATGTACATAGAAGTCAAAAGATTTTATGTAAGTGGTGAAATTGGTTTTCTTGTATTTGCTGAGGCTTAGTAAGTATTCACAGTTGCGAACAATCTAACTTTTTGATTTTTTTTCTGTTTCCATCGCAACCAATACACAAAACAACCAAATTTTGATAGATTTATGTTTCTTGTGTCAAACATTAATAATTGGTAAATTTTTATCAAAATCAGTGACCATATCTGCCAGGAATGTTTAAGTGTTTATGTAGAATTGCTCACGAATATCTTTTTTTTTTAAATAGCTTAGAATTTTTTTTACCAAAACATGTACCTTATAACCATCTTTTCATGAACCCGGATCGAAAGATCCCGGGGGTATATTGTTTTTGTCCTGTCTGTCTGTTTATCTGTTTGTCTGTTGTCAACTTTAACCTTGCCCATAACTTTTCATTGGTTGGAGCTATGACTTTTATATTTCACATGTGTATTCCTTGTGAAAAGACCTTTCTTTGGGTACAATCAAATGTGACCTTTTGACCTTGACCTTGGAGTTTGACCCACTTTTGCAAAATTTTATGAGATTTTAACCTTGGCATAACTTCTGAACAGTTGGTGCTTGGGGTTTCAATATGGAACGCCACAGCTGTCTTAAGGGTACAAAATATACATCATAGTGTCAATACGATATAACATTAAGTCTATCCTTTATATCATTAAGTCCATTTTATATAATATGTAGGCTTTTCTTTATATCATTAAGTCCACTTTATATATTATGCAGTCTATTATTTATATCATTAAGTCCACTTTATATATTATGTAGTCTATTCTTTATATCATTAAGTTCACTTTATATATTATGCAGCCAATTCTTTATATCATTAAGTCCACTTTATATAATATGTAGTCTATTCTTTATATCATTAAGTCCACTTTATATATTATGTAGTCTATTCTTTATATTATTAAGTCCACTTTATATATTATGTAGTCTATTCTTTATATCATTAAGTCCACTTTATATATTATTTAGTCTATTCTTTATATCATTAAGTCCACTTTATATATTATGTAGTCTATCCTTTATATCATCAACCCACTTTATATGATATGTAGTATAGAAGCTATACCATGCTGACAAATCAATGTACTATAAAGTCGGACGCATGTAGCATCCAGTCAAAATACAAGATTGAAGTTAGCAGCAAATAACAACAATCACTAAGAAATTCATCAAAGGACTGAGAGTACTCAGGTGGAATATTTTTTGTCAATTATAATAATTAATACTTAAAGAATCAATGCAACACTTAATTACTTAATAAGACAAATACTTGAAGGGGAAATATACTGATAGAAACTCTATTCATTTTCATGTTCATTTTCCCAGAAAGAACGAGGGCGCTTTTGATTGGTATTCGACAGGAATCTGGGCGCAAGATTTCATTGATCTGTCACATGAAATTTTAACATTTTTATGATGTATCGGGTTCCTGTGAAATAGGAAAGGGAAATATTTTCTCGATGTTTTGTTTTGTTTTGCTAAAAGATAACTTGAAAAGTGGCTAGATGAGAAATTTGGTACCAAATGTTACAATTTTTAAACACGCCTTTCTAAACATTTTCTATCTCTGGGTCATCTCCCCATGAATTTGAATCGTTATTTTTTGTGTATTTTAATTCGAAGAAACAAACATTTGTTTAAAAAATGGAGAGAAGACACAGGGACTACAAAAAATGAACTTTTCCCCACAAAATTCCAATGTGTAACTGCGGTGCTTCATTGTCCTTTTAAAATCCACATTGTGTGTAGCGATGGTGGCTTAGAAGATGCGTTACCCGACCAGTGCAATGGAAAAGAAAATTTTTGGTTCGACCCTCGCATGCAGCATTGAGATTTTAAAAAGATACAATCATTTCATTCTTTTAGCAATTTAATTTTATGTACTGATTTATATTTTTAAATGGATGAATTTCGGTCCCATTCTACTGAGAGCGAAAGTAATTCTTCCATCCTACTGAAATTTTGATATGCACATGTACTTAAAATTGCATTTAAATATCCCCTATTGTCTGATAAGTGTTGCTTATTTTTGGGAATCGTTACTATGTCTTAGAAATTTTAAAGATAAGCGGACTTAAATATAACATTTTTAAAAGATATTTCAATCTAAATTTAACATTTTTTTCCTATGTTTGTTACTCTGTAAAGTGTGTCCAGCTTTGGTCAGTGAAATCGTGGACATTTAAACTATATATAAATGTTTAGTACAAATGATTCTTGTATAGCACACGCCAAATACGCACATCTTTAAATTTCGCTTATTACCCCTTTTCCCTCGAAGTGTGCATGAAAACACAATTATTGTGGCAGAATTAGGGGCTGTAGGGCTAGGGTTACCCATTCCCGCTCTTCAGTTAGAGCTGTAGGGTTTCCACCAATTGTTGTTTCAAGCACCTTTTTTCTCCACCGTCTTTGAATAATATTGCAAACCAACACTAGGTAAGAAACTCCCAGCAATAATGAAAAACACACTTCAAAGACTAGAGGTACAATAGCTGCTTGAAATATGTACCCGCCCTTGTCACCACTTGATGGTACCACTACAACCTCAAATTGCCGTATATAATAGTTGTATGGCACCTTTGTACCAATAACCAGTCAACGAGAATTAAGCTGAGTAATAGCTTACCTTCAGTTTTCAATACTAAGAGTAAGCAAATTTCAGGTTAGCTAATTGGGCCTGTGATGTTCCTGAGACCCGTCAAAGAGCTGAAAAGGAATTCTCCCGGAAGAAAATTATTCCAAACTGTTTGTTTTTTTCTTTAGTGGTCAAAGATGATAAAAATTCTTTTTTTTTTTTTTAGTTTTTTTTTTTTTTGTTTGTTTTAAAACTGCATGATTTTCCTAATGCAGGTGATCTTAACTGCCTTCGAGTATTTGTTTAATTAAATAATTAAGTCTATCATTATTTGTCTAAGTATATTAATCAATTGTCTAAAATAAGCATAAATACATTATTGCATCAGAGTATTACTAGTCCTTTGATGAATTTTCTTATTAGCTGCTTGCATCTGACTTTGTAGTACATTGATTTGTCAGCATAGTAAAGCTTCTGTACTACATATAATATAAAGCAGACTTAATGATATAAAGAAAAGACTACATAATATATAAAGTGGACTTAATGATAAAAAGGATAGCCTACATAATATATAAAGTGGACTTAATGATATAAAGAATAGACTACATAATATATAAAGTGGACTTAATGATATAAAGAATAGCCTACATAATATATAAAGTGGACTTAATGATATAAAGAATAGACTACATAATATATAAAGTGGACTTAATGATATAAAGAATAGACCACATAATATATAAAGTGGACTTAATGATATAAAGGATAGACTACACAATATATAAAGTGGACTTAATGATATAAAGAATAGACTACATAATATATAAAGTGGACTTAATGATGTAAATGATAGCCTACATAATATATAAAGTGGACTTTATGATATTAAGAATAGACGACACAATATATAAAGTGGACCTAATGATATAAAGAATAGACTATGTATTATATAAAGTGGACTTAATAATACATGTATAAAGAATAGACTACATAATATATAAAGCGAACTTGATGATATAAAGAATAGACTGCTTATTATATAAAGCGGACTTAATGATATGAAGAATTGACGACATATTATATACAGTGGACTAAATGATATAAAGAATAGACTACATAATATATAAAGTGGGATTAATGATATAAAGAAAAGACTACATATTATATAATGTGGACTTAATGATATAAAGGATAGCCTTAATGTTATATCGAATTGACACTATGATGCATATTGTGTACCCTTAAGACAGCTGTGGCGTTCCATATTTCAAACTTCACATGTGTATTTTTTGTGACAAGGCCTTCCTATGGATATCAACCTCTTTGACCTTGACCTAGGAGTTTGACCTACTTTCGAAAAACTTTAACCTTCGCCATAACTTTTGAATGGTTGGTGCTAGGGCTTTCATACATCACATATGTAATCGTTGTGACAAGATCTTCCTTTGGATACCAACAACTTTGACCTTGACCTTGACGTTTTACTTTTAAAAAACTAACCTTCGCCGTAACTTTTTAACAGTTGCAGCTAGGGCTTTCAAATTTCACAGGTATATTCCTTGAGACAAGACCTTTCTTTGGGCATCAACATTTTTTTTTTTATCTTTTTGCCTGGATTTTAACTTGCATTTGAGAAACTTTAACCTTCGCCATAAGCTGCCATACGGGGGCATCAGTGTTTCACAAACACATCTTGTTTTTTCTTTATATAATAGGCGATTGCTTTTATAATGGCCGCTACCATGACGTCGGAGATGGCTTTCCCGCGACTGATGGTTGCAATGGATGTTTCTGCGCAGCACCCGGACAGGTTGGATGTTCATTGATGGGTTGTCGTAAGTATTACAACGATTGGTTGTCCTAAGTATAACATGCAATTGATTGGTTTTTTATAAGTATTTTAAGTAAATTGGTTTGTTGTCCTAAGTATTATATTTCTTTGTTTGATTGGTTTTTATAAGTATTTTAGGTAAATTAACATTTTAGCAACATTATTATTATTGCAGCCCGGAGGACCGGGCTGCTCCATACATATAAGTTTAAGTTGTGATGTGTGGTATTGCGGTGGGAGCAGTTATTCAGGATCAAAGGTTAACTTAAAAGATTATACATCAGAATGTTCTTTCTCTTCGTAAATTACAAGATATACGATATATCTACTTCCATGAAGTACATCTTTAAAAGTGTATATGTTTTGTATATGTAATATACAAAGTTGCCTATCATTTACTATGGACAAAACGACAGGTCCCCTTTTTAGAACATTAAATTTAACTGTCGCATAAAGTTACAACGCAAAATGTAATAACAACGCAAAATGTAATAACAACGCAAAATGTAATAAACTGGGATTATTACATTTGCGTTATTACATTTTGAGTCGAGATCAATGCATAATATAATAACGCAAAATGTAATAACATGTTTTTTTTGGATTATTACATTTTGCGTTGGGGTTAACGCAAAATGTAATAATGCACTTTTTGGTTGTTACATTTTGCGTTACTTAATTTTTGCGTTGAAATCAACGCAAAATGTAATACAACAAAACGTAATAAAACGAAAGATATTTTTTTAGTATTGTGTTCAATGCGATACATTACAAAATTGATTTAAACATATAACAATGGGGAAACTCGCTTTACTAAATAGACAGACAGAGCTATGACTGTGAGACAAACGTTACGGCTTTTACGGACTTACTGATTGTATATTTTTTTAACTCCATTTCTAACATTTTTATAAAATACTTATAAAACATTAACTTAACTTCGATTGACATGTCTATTTATAGATCAATGCCATTCTTAATTACCAAAGATTGACCCAAGGGTCCATTAAAAGCTCTTGATTTGCATATACGACGTGCATGTGTACACTGGTTAGCAAATTAGAAGTGTATTTGTGTGTGTCTGGCGGGAGAAGCGGAGGAAAGGGGTTGCTTCGTATGTTGATCATTGTATTTTGTTTTGCGCATGCAGAAACTATCCATTTTGTTATTGGAGAGAGAGAGAATTTTATTTTTGCTGGTCTGCAATGCAATGAAGCGTCTCAATATGAGTGAAAAATTCTTGAGAGAGACGTTAAGCAACAAACAAACAAACAATGCACATGATTTGAAATCTTACTAGTCAAGAAACCCCTTTCCCGCTATATTTACACCTGCCAGTAAAAATAACAGATTTTTTTTCCTAAATTCATGCATGTGCCTATGAAAAAGCAAAAGCAAACTGATCAACGAAATACCCCCCCCCCCCTCCACACACACACACGTGCGCACGCACAATTCTAATTTGCAACACTTATCATTTGAATATCAACTGATTTTAAATGGCTTATGAAATCAATATATGATGAAATCAGACATAATGTAAGAATAAGCATATATTTATTTTTCCTTTTGTTTTATTTTCTTTACGTTTAATTTCTTTATCCACCACTCAATTGAAAAATATTCTCAACCTAACTGACCAAAAAGTGTGTTATAACATTTTGCGTTGTTGGATTTTGCTTAATCTCGATGCAAAATGTAACAACGCAAAAATGTAATAATCCAAAAATCTGTTATAACATTTTGCGTTCATCTCGACGCAAAATGTAATAACGCAAAATGTAATAATCCTAAAAAGTCTGTCATTACATTTTGCGTTATTTTATTCTGCGTTGATATCGACGCAAAATGTAATAACGCAAAATGCAATAATCCCGGTTTATTATATACCCAACTGTTTGTCACTCAGTTTTACTGTTGAATTTATGCAATCACGTGACGGTGTGATCCGACATTCCGGATCAACACACTGTGGTTTTCTGAATCCATATCACCCCTCTCTGAAACTGATGACGTAGTACACAGGTAAATGACGTTTTTATTCTCACGCATCAAAATGTTCCTTGACAAAATGGTTTGTTTACTGTATAAAAGTTAGGTAATTGATCCAAAAAGTTTCCATTTATTATATTTTGCTAGTTGTAAAGGGGTATATAATAAATTTATCATTATAACAGTAACTTGATCCGAAGAGCCGTATCACGTCTCGTTGACAGGCGCGGATCATCAGATCAAACTCGACGCTTCGCGTCTCGTTTGATCTGATGATCCGCGCCTGTCAACTTGACGTGATATACGGCTCTTCGGATCAAGTTACTGTTATAATAATATATATTTATTTATTACATTTTGCGTTGTAGCAACGCTACACAGTTTGTGATTTATATTCATTAAGTCTAATACATTTCTGATGATAGATGATAAATGTGTCTGATTCTAATTTATATATTATGCAGCCAACAATTACTTTAGGAAATAATAAAATTTAAAACGGTATTTTTTTAGTTCGATTTTCATCCAATTTGAAGCTTCCCGTAAATTTTCTAGATCCGTCAACCGTAACCACCCCAGTACTTGTTACCCATTCCACGGCTGTTTATCGAAAATAAAAGTGAACATTTAATCAAATTTACGATAACTACTATATGAGTGAAATCTAAATATACGTCGAGTAGTTTACAGACATCAACTCATACCTAGTACAATTCTAGAGGAGTAAGCATGAACTCTTGTACAGGCGTTTCAGAGTTAATTCGCAAAATTTATTAATTTATAAGTATAGATTGTTTTGGCTCGATGTTATACCTAATTTATTGATTCAATGTAACATGCAATTTCATTGGTTTTGATATTAAGGAGTTTATATTCAGCCAATTGCTGGAAGATTAACTAGAAACATCGACCACGGTAATGGATGCAAAAATAAAGAAACAAAAAATGTGAAAGATATCGTCCAAGTCCTCTTGTTTCTCAACTTGTCAATAGTCAGATTTAAGTTTAACTTAGAAAAATATTAACTACGAGGATTGTTCGGAAATTATTGAGAAATTCTGATTATTTCCTTTTCTAAGGCCATCTTGAAAAAAAAATTGTTTGTATGTCCTCTCCGACCGACTGGCTAAAAATTGCCCGTCTCAAAACTTTTGAAACCTCCACGAAACATTTTTTTTTCATTGTCCCTGAATTTTCTCATCCCATCAACATTTCTAGGAAAAATAATTTTCCCAACTACTGACCGACCCAATTTTTTTTTTTATTCTGAGTCTCGAGAGAGGGCAAACAAACATTATTTCTTAGATGTACTAATCATCTATTTTGATGAAAAGTGGTATATACATTTATCAGACATCTACAAATTGTATTTACCCCGGTAATCAAGAAATATTTCAGAAATATGTAATTTTTCTTTTAAATGGCCTATAAATATGTGTCGATGCTAGGGGTACCCAGCGAAGTCGGGGAATAAGGTGTTGGCATTCATTACTACTAAATAACAAGTCCTGGTTGACCATGAGAGTGTAAGGAAAATCATAAAATTATTCAAATCATACTGTGATTTTTATCTTAATTTTATTTTTTTGTAAGTTGTATAAACTTTCGATTATAAATACAGAAATATATTAAAAATCTTCAGGCTATAGAATTCTGATTATGACGGCAAAATGAACTACGAGGTCAAGGTGGCGCAGCGGGCATACATTATATGACGTTTACGTGTAGAGCTAAGTACAGCTGTTCAGACAACGGACCTTCCAAAACAAACACGATGTCACAAAAACACATGTCTTGGGCTTTAGTTAATTGTTTCTTTAAACACCTAAAAAGGCCCTAAGTGGCCCTTGCTCTTTGAACATACAGACTTTTTTTTTGTTTTTCAAACAGCTTGAGTACCTTCTGTAATCATCAGCTGATTCAATCACACGAAACTTGATTTTATAAAACTTTTATGTGTTTCTATTCCACAGAACATCATTTTTTTTGTAAAAATTAAAGGCATAAAACTGTCAATACATGTTTTATTTTAGCTGATCGTTGCACCCTGCCAATAGAACCTGGAAATTGTAATGATATTCTTCTAAGATGGGGATACAACAGTTTGTTCAATCAGTGTCAGCCGTTCATCTATACAGGCTGCGACGGAAACGACAACAATTTTGAAACTTACGAGGAGTGTGCCGGCCGTTGTCCGAGCAGGACTTGTAAGTTAAACAGTAAACTAATGAAATATGGAGATAAACGAACAGTAATCAAGCTCAAACGTCCATTGAAACAATGGAAATCTGAAGCAGAGCAAACAGGGACCTCTAAAACATAAGTGGTGGGATCAGGTGCCATTAAGGAGTAAGCATCCCCAGTCGACCGGTCACAATCCCCGTGTGCCTCTTGTCATGATCGGGCAAACTGGAAAATCCGTAGACAATTCAGTGTGTAAATAATGGCCTAACTAAGCAATAGAACTCGGTTCAAAGAACTAAATACATGTAATTATAGGACATCTCGGTTATAAGGAGCTATTTTTGAATCCTGTAGAAGACGTCACACCGTGTTCTTTATAGGAATGCAAAGAATCTGTTATAAGGAGGCAAAATTTGAAGTCCCAGTGACTTCCTTGTAACCCAGTTTTACTGTTCTCGTATGAGTCCATTATTGTGGTAGAAAGAAATGTAAGTTATACAAGGGTCTCAGTGTTGTAGTAATGCAAAAGAAATGTAAGTTATACAAGGGTCTCAATGTTGTAATAATGCAAAAGAAATGTAAGTTATACAAGGGTCTCAATGTTGTAGTAATGCAAAAGAAATGTAAGTTATACAAGGGTCTCAGTGTTGTAGTAATGCAAAAGAAATGTAAGTTATACAAGGGTCTCAGTGTTGTAGTAATGCAAAAGCTGAAGATAACGCTCAGTGATCGATCTAAAAAAAAATCTAAAAACAATACACATCAGTGAATAGGGCATAAAACACGGACCCCTGGAAATTCCAGGGGTGGGATCACGTGCCCAGGAATAAGCGGACCATTGATATACAGAGATGCCTACAGTGTTAAAAAAAAGAAATTATGGTTATATTTTTTAAAGTCTATACATTGGTGCGTACAGCTTTGTGGAAAACTGCAAGTTAAACATTTAACATTATACTTATCGGTATACATAAAGTTTTTGAGATAAATTTATTTAGAAAATGACTAGAATACCAATATAACCGATTAATATTTCAACAAAATATTCGTATTTTTAAACTATTATTCTAATGTAGACAGAGAAAATGTTGCCCCCGTTTTACTTTCACCTTTCGTTGCTAGTAGCCGAATTTTAAAATGTATAAAATAAAACAGAATGCTTTTCTTTTTTTCAAAAACACAACTGTCAGTGTCTAGGCAAAGGCAACAAAAATCATTTGCATAGGGCGAAAATAACATGGGTAGAAAAATTCTGGTAAGACTTAGCTTATTCAAACCTTAACATTTTCTTTGAAAGAGAAATTTGGTTGAACACATCTGTTTAAATGTTGTAGAAATTGTGGAGTTTTCCCCCAGTTTTATTCCATGTGTAGTAACGCATTGTTTCTTTTCTCAAAAGAATGAATAATGAGAATCTTCATTTATGACGTAAAAGTTTGTCTTAAAATTTGAAAGCCTGAAAAAGATTCAATTGGAATCAATCACATTTAATATCACATTTTTTTTTATTTCAGGGTGGAAAAAATCCAGAATTGGCTGATTAAAGAAATCTCTTTCACCTTGTTTAGTTTTATTGAAGCTAAAAAAAATCTTAATATTCATATCTGATGTTTGGATAAAAATGAACCTTTTATGAACCTTAATAAACCTAATAACGTTTATCATTGTTATTAACGTCCCTTGACGTCCCACGTGTATTTTCATGACTTTTTAAATCAATTTTGTCCATTACAGCATGAAAAGTATTTTTTATTTTGTAAAATGAAAAAAAAGTTAAATGTTTATGCTTAGGTAAAAAAAAAAATATTTTAATACTTCTTTTCGAGTTTATGTGAGTTTATTAGAGCGTATGGTAATTAGCATAATCGCCGAAGTGATTGTAAGTGAAACTTTAGTAGCGCTCTCTAGATCTGGTGAGGGAGTGCTTGTTCGTGAAGCTTGTATAGCGAACTCTAGATCTGGTGAGGGAGTGCTTGTGTGTGAAGCTTGAATAGCGAACTCTAGACAGAGTGCTTGAGAGATTAGCTTGAAAAAGGTCCTCTAGATCTGGTAAAAGAATGGTGTAAGTGAACCTTGAATACTGAATAGCGCCCTCTTCTTCTTGTGAAAAAATGCTTCCAAGTGAACATTGTGAAGCGCCCTCTAAATTTATTGATAAAGTATTCTTGTAGATAAAGCTTGAGTACCGACCGCTTCATCTAATGAGAGAGTGCTGTATATTGAACTTCTATTTAGCGTTCCCTCCTATGAGAAGATTGTTCATGTTTATGTTAATGTTAGAGATTGTTCTTTTTGACGTATCCGTATACGTATCCGTATCCGTATAGGTATCGAGGTATGAGAGGCATCTCGATCCTGATGATTTAACCGTTGGGTACCATTTTCACCGTTTCTTGTTTGATTTTAACCTCATTCATTGGAAAATAAGATATACAGTAATATTTCTAATAAAACGTATCAAGTTGTTGTTCACACCTATCATTTTATGGAAGGATTTAAAAAAAAAAATAAAATTAGTTAAAAAGTATGTATATTTTCATTAAATTGTTTAAAAATTAAAAAAAAAGGTTAAAAAGGGACTTCCCCTTCTCTCTCTCTCTCACAATATCAGGATATATTATTGTTTCATTCTCGAAGTAACCTTTACCAGTACAAGACATATTCCCCATAATGCATACAGTCAACGCTCGTTATCTCATGCAACTTGATTGGACCAATTAAAACTTCGATATATCCAAGAATTTGAGTTAACAAAGTTTAACTGTACGAGGTGTCAGAGATCAAACATTCTAGTTGAGTATAAGTTTGTATACCTCAAGCAGACACTTAAAATTGATTAACAAAGTGGAGAAGGGGGAAGCTGGGCCGAGGCAGGGAGAAACCAAAAAATGACAAGTCACCTTAGCAAAACTTTGACAATAAAAATGTGTAGAAATTAATCAAACTCTTAAAAAACCCATTACTGGGTATGTATGTGTGTGTGTGTGGGGGGGGGGGTATGGATATTAAGTTTTGAGTTCCTCTTTTCCACAAAAATAATTACATATACATTAACTGTGAAAGATTAATTGGACCATACTGCATACTCTGTGTGTATGTTTGTGTGTGTGTGGGGGGGGGGGGGTCACTGAAAATTTCCATCCTCATTTTCTTTTTTATCATCATTAACATTCTGTATATCATTTGATTATATATGAGGGACAAAGTTTTCCAGAAAAGCTTTGGAAAGCTGGCAACTGGGATGGTTTGAAGACTTTAAATTCCCCAAATTGTTAGGTGATAGCCGTATCCGAAATTCCAGAGAGCTTGAGAAAGGACTACCATTTCTGAAAGTGATGCAATTACACGCAGTTTTTATCGGGGATGAATGAACAATTGTCGATAAAAGGAGATAAACGGAGAAAATGTTTTATTTATGTCTTACACATTACTTTATATACATGTTGACTAAAGTTTACTTCATGATTTATTTATTGCAATTAAGACTACTGTAATTCTTTGTGTACAAGCGAGATCAAAACTTTTATCCTTTATTCTGTGTTTTTTATTGCTCTGCTACGTTGAAGAAGCCTCTTCTCTTCAATTCTGTAAACTGCGTGTTGAATTGACTCACACTTGTCCCGATCTGGGCCAAAATGCATAAATAAATAAATAAATAAATAAATAAATAAATAAATAAATAAAATTAAAAATAAATAAATGAATAAATAAAAATCAGCTGGATGGACAAGGTAGCATAGAAAAAATAGATTAATCTATTGTTTTGGAATTTTTTAGCCTAATGTTCTTTTCTTTCTTATAAAAAGAGAGTTAAGATAATGAATACCCTATTATGAAACAGTTTCTATATATAAAACCATGAATTATATATAATACGCATGTACGACAACAAGAGAACTAAAAGGAAAAATCAAATTTAACAATTGCATTTTCATTTCATTACCTATTTTTGTCGCCATGAAGTCTTTTCAAGTTAATACTGCTGAAAGGACAAAATATAAAGCAAAATCAAGCCGTATGAGAATAGGCACGAAAGAAGCAATTTCAACTGAGGACGGGAAGGGAAGACATACAGGTATTTGTCAAATAGTTCATTGAAAAAAGAATGAAGAAAGTCAACAGACGCTATGAAAATTTGTGTGTGTGTTCCCGGGGGGGGGGGGGGGGTGAACTGGCATTTTTAAGCATATACTGGTAAGGGTCTGGAAGCGAATTCTCTTTAGAAACGGCTACAAGATTTTATTGATTGTGTGGATATCAACGTCTTTTGCATTTTAGTGTGTGTGTGTGTGAGTTGGGGGGGGGGTAACTTTTATGTCATCTAATGTTAATTACAGAATAAATCAATAAAATGTCCTGATGTTAAGAGGGAGAGAGGGGGATCCCGATAAATGTTTTTAAACAAAATTGCAATCAAAGTTTTAAACAATATAATGAAAACAAATACAAATTTATTTAATTTCATTATCTAGTTTTTAAAAATTTTCCAGCGAAATGATAGACGGTTACAGCAGGTTAATACACTTTTTATTAGAAAAAATACCATATGCTATTATTAAATGAATGGGGCTGCTTTAAAACCAAACAAACTACGATTGAAATTATAGTAAATAGTTTAGACTTCGGGATCGAGATGCCTCTCTCACCTCGATACGTATGCGGATACGGATACTTATACGGATACGTCAGAAAGAACAATTTCTGTTAGAGATTGTTCTTTCTGAGGTATCCGTATAAGTATCCGTATCCGTATACGTATCGAGGTGAGAGAGGCATGTCGATCCCGATGTCTAAACTATTTACTATAATTTCTATCGTTATTTGTTTGGTTTTAAAGTATCCCCATTCATTTAAGAATAGCATATGGTATATTTTTCTAATAAAAATGTATTAAGCTGCTGTAAACGTCTATCATTTCGCTGGAAAATTTAAAAAATATAGATAATGAAATTAAATAAATTTGTATTTGTATTATATTGTTTAAAACTTAAATTGCAATTTTGTTTAAAAACATTTATCGGGATCCCTCTCTCTCCCTCTTAACATCAGGACATTTTATTGATTGATTCTGTAATTTACCTAAGATGACATAAAAGTTAACCACCCCACATCCCACCCCCACCCCCACTCACACACTAAAGTGCAAAAGACGTTGATATCCACACAATCAATAAAACCGTGTAGCCGTTGTCAAAGAGAATTCGCTTCCAGACCCTTACCATTATATGATCAAAAATGCCAGTCCCCCCCCCCCCCCCCCGGAACACACTTTCATAGCGTCTGTTCACTTTCTTCATTCTTTTTTTCGATGAACTATTTGACAAATACCTGTATGTCTCCCCTTCCCAGTTGAAATTGCTACTTTCGTATCTATTCTCATACGGCTTGATTTTGCTTTATATATTTTGTCCTTTCAGCAGTATTAACTTGAAAAGACTTCATGGCGACAAAAATAAGTAATGAAATGAAAATGCAATTGTTAAATTTGATTTTTCCTTATACTTCTCTTGTCGTACATGCGTATTATATATAATTCATGGTTTTATATATAGAAACTGTTTCAGAATAGGGTATTCATTATCTTAACTCTCTTTTTATAAGAAAGAAAAGAAACATTAGGCTAAAAAATGCCAAAACAATAGATTTATCTATTTCTTCTATACTACCTTGTCCATCCAGCTGATTTTTATTTATTTATTTATTTTAATTTTTATTCATTTATTTATGCATTTTGGCCCAGATCGGGACAAGTGTGAGTCAATTCAACACGCAGTTTTTAGAATAGAAGAGAAGAGGATGCTTCAACGTACATGTAGCAAAGAAATAAAAAACACAGAATAAAGGATAAAATTTATACGACACATTTAATTGATAAAATATCAGCATTTTTTCAGAGTTTTGATCCCGCTTGTACACAAAGAATTACAGTCATCTTAATTTCAATAAATAAATCATTAAATAAACTTTAGTCAACATGTATATAAAGTAATGTATAAGAGATAAAAAATTTTCTCCGTTTATCTCCTTTTATCGACAATTGTTAATTCATTCCCGACAAAAACTGCGTGTAATTGCATCACTTTCGGAAATGGTAGTCCTTTCTCAAGCTCTTTGGAATTTCGGATAGGGCTATCACCTAACAATTTATAGGGAATATAGAGTCTTCAAACCACCCCAGAATTGCCAGCTTTCCAAAGCTTTTCTGGAGAACTATGTCCATCAAATATGATCAAATGATATACAGAATGTTGATAATGATAAAAAAGAAAATAAGGATGGAAATTTTCGGTGACAACCCCCCCCCCCACACACACACACACACATACACACAGAGTATGCAGTATGGTCAAATTATAATCTTTCACAGTTAATGTATCCGTTATTATTTTTGTGGAAAAGAGGAACTCAAAACTTAATATCAATAACAACCCCCCTCCCCCCCCCCCCCCCACACACACACACAACACACACACACATACACAGTAATAGGTTTTTTAAGAGTTTGATTAATTTCTACACATTTTTATTGTCAAAGTTTTGCTAAGGTGACTTGTCATTTTTTGGTTTCTCCCTGCCTCGGCCCAGCTTCCCCCTTCTCCACTTTGTTAATCAATTTTAAGTGTCTGCTTGATATAGACAAACTTATACTCATCTAGAATGTTTGATCTCTGACACCTCGTACAGTTAAACTTTGTTAACTCAAATTCTTGGATATATCGAAGTTTTAATTGGTCCAATCAAGTTTGAGATAACGAGCGTTGACTGTATGCATTATGGGGAATATGTCTTGCACTGGTAAAGGTTACTTCGAGAATGAAAC